AATCATTGTCGGACTAAAATGAAGAGACCCATCTCGTTGCTGCTCAGCATGCTTTTTTCATCATCAGATGCATCCATCTTCATGATTTGTATGCGTTTTTTTGTAACAGAAAAATGAAGGTCTGGATACCTTTTTTTGTATAGAAAATGGACCCATGTGTAAGTTAGAGCATATTCATTGCCTGTTGTGACATCTGGAATGGAAAAAACATGCAGTTCAGCTGCAGCGACAGTGATTTGGCTCTCTGATTGTGACAATGGAGATTCAGTCTGAATTCATTCTCAATCTCAAAATGGGGATTCCAATTCGTATTATTTCAGATGATGTGGATACATTCGATCTTGTTTAAAATTCACTTCGACTTGCAAAGTCACAACAAGGTTATTGAAATTTTGAAGTCATAGTCAAACCTACTGAAATTCCTTCAAAGCTTGTAACAATTTGAAAACACTTAACAATAATAAATGTATTTTTTTAATAAAGACCAATACAATTTGGATGGATGAGCATACCCAACAGACATCTCTTCTTTTACTTTGAGAATCCATGCTCTACTTCATGATTCACATTTAAAAGTTTTGGGAGTTCAAAAACACATAAGTATTTTGTCATAACCCAAATTCATAATGATTAATTGTGGAAGTGTAGTAATATTTGATATGTAATAATGTTTCATGATGAAATGTTTTAATATAATCATAATGTTTTAAAACATTTCAACATATACATGTATTATTAAAATGATGAGTCTATTGATTAAAATTTAAATAAAAATAAGTATTATAAGTCAATAAACAAGATAGGTAAAGATTATGATAGGAATTATGGAGAAATTAGTTTATTTTTTTTTGTTTTTTAAAACTAAATTGTTATTTTTCTTAATTTTATTTCTCTGAAAAAGAAAAAAAAATAGAAAACTTTCTTCAAGTGTGTGTCAAATGACTATGTGTATATATATATATATTTATTTATTTAAATTAGAGTATTTTTGAAAATGTGTTTTCACTGAATATTGCACCAATATATAATTTTACCAATATTTTATTTTTAATTTCAAAAAAACTATATCTTTAAGGCAAATAAATGAAATTTAATTTAATTTTATGCAGCTTAAAATAATAAATAAATTTATTAGATGTAATCCTATGAAGAATTTATTCAAATTCAAAGCTCTAATTTCTTAATCAACTTCAAAAAAGTTAATATAACTTTAACTATCAATAAAATATTATAGAATTTTTAGATTTACATCTATTATTATTGTTGCAATAACATAGGTTTTTATGGAGTTACTCATCAATATCAAAAGATCTACATGAAAGATGTGTCCAACATCAAAAAAAAATTAAATTACATAATATAAATATTAATAAAATTTATTATTTATATACATAGATGTTCATATACAATAACAAATTATTAAGTTTTATTTTAGGAATTGCTAGGTGTACACCCTTCAATTCCACATATTTCTACAAAAAATAAAAATATTTAGTTTTTATTTTGAATAAGATTTTAAAGTTAAATTAATAATAGAAAAAATAAATTATAAAACTAATAAAATATGATCTTTTATGACTTTATTATTTAAAAAATCAATTTGCTAAAGATTTATAAGGACAAAAAAATTGAAGGTTAAGATGACATGGAGCCATAAGATTTAGGTAGATAAGAGTATATTAAATTTTGATATAAAAGTAATAAATATAGGAAGTTATTAAAACCATATTCCAATTTTATTAAAGCAACATCCCCTCTCCTTGCCATTTCATGATTAATTTTGTCCATCTTTACCTTGTTCCTCATTCCAAATCTCTTGTTCTCATCTCTGTTCCATGTCCTATATCTCTTGTCCCTTGTTTCCAATTTCTTGTTTTCATCCTTGTTCAATGTCATGTGTTTCTTATCCCTTGTTTCTAGCCACCTCATGTTCCTTCTTCTCAATCCAAATTTGAGTCCATATAGCTTAGTCACAAATCCAAATATGTTTAGATTAAAAAATATATTCATCAATATTGACACATTCACGGCAAGCAACAATATGATTGCTTCAATCAAATAATACTAGTTAAATCATGCAAATACCAAGTAAATTCTACAAAGTAAAGATTTTGACAAAGTATTACAATTTTGTGAGACATGACAAATAAGTGATGCACTAAAACTTAAATGTGGATTTTTCTTTCAATATGACGGTGAAATCAGCTTAAAACCACCTAAGCTTGGCAAAGTTGGTAAGTAATACAAGCTCACAAAATAAAGTAATTTGTATAGTTTTTCATAAAGCTTGAATTCAAAGGCTTTCCTTCAGTCAACAACATTAGGTTACAATACCACAAAATGCTATAATACAATGAATTAGATCGAGAGTTTGCAAGTCTTTAAAAATTAGCTTTTTCTTTCAAAAATCAAGTAAAAATCATCAACTTATAGGTGATCACCATAGAATTGAAAGTTGTCATATGGCATTTTTAATGCACTTTTTATCAATTCCTAACTTTGACTCATAAAAATCTTCGTCAAAAGTCTATTCTTGTGCACACCATAACATTTAATCTCTAGCCTCAACTAAATTATTAGTTTTCTCCATAAAGAAACGTAGCTTAAAGTAGCTACTAACATTGTGCTTTCTTATCTTGAGCTTAAGAATGTCTTATTGAAAAGATTAAAAAATAAAAATAAAAATAAATAAAACAAGTTGAGAATATAAAACAAAGTACTATAATTGTTACATTTTGAGTTAGATTGTGAGTTAGATAGTTGGCAAAAAAAACAGACTTAATTTTATTAAAATATATAGATGATTCCTCTTCTTCTCATACTTGATCAAACTATACTTGGCTGCCTCCACTAAGAGGTTCTAAAGATAACCTTGTTCAAAAGAACTACTTATCCAAATTTTGTAATGAACTGAAATGGTATTTTTTACTATAGAAAAGATGCAAATTGCAAGTTGCTAGCAATTGTTAAGTCAAGCTACCTATCCATCAACCTCATTTGAGTAGCATGTGTTATCCAAGGCAAAACTAAGTTTCATCATAGCAAATTAACTAGTATAATAAAGAATTACAAGGATGACTTGTTACAAAATTGTTATGACTATGGTAGAGTTCTTTAGTCAAACTTAATGGCTTTTGTGCATATTTTTTTGTATAGATATGGAGTTTGTATGGATTAAATTAAGAAAAAACCATAAACATCATATAAAAGATATTGCAACCTTATTTTGTATAATGCATCCAGCTAAATTTGTGAGTTATGCTCCTAAATGATGAGCCACAAATTTGGGTTGGGAATAAGGGACATAGGAGGGAGAAGAAGAGAGAATGAGGGATGGAAGAGATGGGATAAGGAACAAGGATGTGAATGGGAGATATGGAATTGGAAACAAAGAAGAAAGATGGGGATGGATAGAACTAATCATAAGATGGCAAAAGAAGGTATGGCTTGAACAAAATTGAGGTGTGGCTTAAATAACTTTCTAAATATGATAAAAATAATGATTTAAAATTGAAACTAGTAAATATATATTTACTTTTGTAGAAGTGTATATATAAAGATTTATGGAACAAGAGATATCCATTTATAGTTTTCTTTATTTTTTGAATTAATATTTACATTTCAAATAATGATGCTTCTAATAATACACAATTTTTGTTTTATTGTTATGATACTTTTAAAAAATAATAAAATTGAGTGCTATATTGATAGATATCTAAATATCACAAATTATTGTATGTGGTCATAGAAGTAATGAATGAATTATATGGTAGATTTTCTTAGTACATGGCTTGTAATCTTATCAAATAAATATATAATATTTAAATATTATTTTAAAGTTTTTTTTTTTTTGAAGCAGGTTACATAATGGAATATCAAAATAACAATGAAGTGTTAAAATTCATGAATAGAGCTATTATCAATCTTATTACCCTATTTTAAAATTTTACATGTATGCTGATTTTGTAGATTATATATCAGATGCACATACTCAGATGGTCACATTCATGTTTTGTCATTACTTTAAATTGTTACACAAAGCTGCACATAAGTATGGCTTTCTTTTTAATCAATAACAAATCGTCTCCTGAAGTTGAATTGTTAGAATTAAAATTCATGAACTATGTTCCTTTGACTCTACCTCTACTATTACGACTTCCATAGACCCAATGAAATTGGAAGTATTTTGAAAAGAACAATGGATGAGTACTACCTATCTGTCATGGCCCAATTTTCACATGAAAAAATATGTATATGTATTTGCTGAAGATCCACGTGTCAATCAAGTGAATTGGGTGTGACGTTGTAACCCTGACAGAGCAAAGTGAAAGGGTCTGTAAAACAGAAAGAATGGCCCCTCTAAATCGCTACTTTCCACTCAGTCACATCATTTCCCATGCAATGCTCAGTGTGCGAGTACATATGTATATGTTTATATACGGGCGTATAAGCACCCCACTCAAGATAGACTGGATAATCATTCTGAAAGGAGCGAAGCATGGACAGTGAGTCCTACAGTGCCCAAATAACTCACACGAAAGTGATTCGGAATGAGTGGAATCTGTAGTCCTCCAGTGTTCGCAATTGAATCAATTCCTTTCTTTTTTTCTCTATATCCTTAACCAGCTCCACTGTTCGGCGGTTATGCACAAACTGGTACTGCATGCACACCATGTCTGCATAGACTCTCAGCTTAGTTCAGAAGTTTCACATCTCAAACACGAAGTTGATACCAGGAGCACAGCGAATACGCAGACTGTATCAGCAGATATGCACCGGCAAAACGAGGTAGGCTTTTGCAAAGGAAATCTGTGATCAATGATCGTAACACAACTGAAACTTCATCAATAGTTATGGCTTCGAACATGCGTAGGAAAGTGATCATCAACAAGTATTCTGGAGTCTGGGCACTCAGGAGATGTAGCAAAAGAAACCAACAATTTCGTACATAGTGGACATGACCGCTTTGAAAGAAAAATACAAAACAAAGCAGAACAACGTATAAAACACTATGTGCATGTACTCAAGAGCGCAACGCTCTCTGTGAATGCCTAGTACACCATAGATGAATAAGAGTTCAAAGGACAAAAGAGAACAATAATTACAAAATGCCTAGTTCAGCCTAAGGCAGAGTGAGCTCTCAGCCAATCCTGCAATTTGAAGGTGCCCCTTACCTTCCTGCTACACCTACTCGACACCCTAAAGAAGAGAGGATTCACCGCCATGCAACCCATGGTGACCCAGATACAGGAACAAGCCCTTCACAAAACAAACACAGAAAGCAGCTGTCTAAACAAGAGCAATGGAGCTAGCACCGCCAGGTGGCTTTTTAATGCCACCAAGGACATCCCGGGCTCTGGGTTTGTCATCCGAGAAGATGTCATGGCCAGTTATCTCCTTGAGCTTTGCTTGGCTCAGATGATGGTGCTGGGGCTTAGCATTGGGCGCATTGTTAGCGTCACTGAAGATATCATGTCCAGAAAGCTCAGCACTCTTCAGCCCTGAAAGTTTATGGGTAACACTATCAACCTCCTCATCTGTGCCGAAGGAAATCTGACTGCGGCCTCCTGCAGGCTGCAATCAACATACCACTTTCGGAATTCATCACTTAAGAAAGGCATATAGAAAGGAGATAGAACATTCACTAGATATTATCATCGCACTACATTATCAGGATGCACAAACAGTTGAAGTCAGAAAAGAGAATGAGATCGTTCAGACTACAAACCAATGCCTTTTAAACTTACATTAGAAATCCTCACTGACGTGTGCAAGCTTCGTGGTTGAGGCTGGTCCTGATTAGCCTTTGATTCCTCCCTCATTTCAAGTGAACGATTGTTCTTAGGTTGGTCTGGAAGAGGGGGCCCAAAGATGTTGCTGCCCGTCAACTCCTTAGCTTTGGCATTCGAAAAGCTCCCTCGTCTCGCATGAATATCATCAGTGGTCTCGCGCGTACCACTAAGCTCCCTCTGTTTCGCGACTTCTGGGATAGTGACTGGCTTCTTTGGTGATGCACTCTCCTCTCCACCAAATGATATTTGGCTGACTCCGCCAGCTGGCTGAAGATCACAGACAAGTCGTGATAGTGAAAAACTAGATCCTCTAGTATTTTGTGTGTTTTCTTGGCATCTGGTAAACAAATATTTTGTGCCGTGGCCTGATATACAACCTGGCAGGTTTTACAGTTTGGTCCCATCGAATCACATGAAACTGGCATAGACTATCTGTTCCCGATGAATGTCAGAATTGTGCTCCTTTTAATAAGGAGCTCAAAATCCATGTGAAGAAACTTGTAATTCCAGCCCAATACTAAGGAATAGCCATTGAGAAACCTACTTTTTGACGAATCAGTTCGTAAATAGTCCTGCTCTGAGTCAGAAGTTTGAGCAGATGTGTTTTAACTGCTAGAGATTTTTTGAAATAATAAAATAATAGAATAATATAATAAAATCAAAGTGTGCTCATGAAGCGCCCAGAACGTAATCCGACCTCGTCCATCAAACCAGTGAACATTTTCACCTAGTGCTAATATTGCATCTTTAGAAAAAGGACCCGAGATACGAGAGGTTCAATCACTAATCACTCGAGATAACTGAGTGATGAAGGAAACTAGCGATCACACCTGATGCATACGCACAGCAGTTCTATCAGAACCATTGACTTCGCCATTTCCAGCGCCTGCTCCATTGAAAATACCACTCCCATGCATCTCTCTTTTCTTTAAGTCCGAGGCAGGGCGGCTGAATAGAAAATAATACACCAAAATCAGTTCTACAGACTTCAGGAACTATAAAATCATAGTATGCTGAGATCAGACACTGGAAAAAATCACTTGGCCATCCCAGTATGCCGCGGTGGACAGTGTGTAAAAACATGATAATCATTTTTAAGCCAACAGTGTAAACAGTACAATGCAACATAGAAGGTACCAATCATAATGGCAATAGCTAACGAGCCTGCAGCCATCATCTCCGAAACCATGCTTACGACGCCAGTGCAGGTCACGATCATCATTCAACGAATAATACGACAACTCGATGCCATAGGTGTGTTACTCCAGGTTGTATGTGCAGGCTAGTTGAGTTCCAGGGACACAGTATCTGACTAAGAGCGTACCTCTTCAGCATAGCTTCTGCTTCTTCAGCTGAAACGGTTTCAGCTAACTTAATCGTGCTCACCCCACCTGCAGGCTGTATTTCACAACGCCGGACCACCATTAGAAAACTCGACAGAATACTGAGCACGCAGACTACGGGTACGTGGTTGACTGTGTGCACGAGAGGCGAAGAAAAACCTACTGGGAAGGACCATTGACATAAGATATAGTGTATGGAGGTCAATACCATGCAAGTGGGCTACCAATGTGGGTGAAAGACAGGGCTCCGGAACCCTTATTCGAGACCCGATGCTAACAACACAATACTAACTTGACCAACACACAAATGCGCAAGGTGTGCGAATGCCTCAAGCTAAGAGGTTCCACCTGGTGCATACGAATAGTTGGTCGACCGACAGGGCTATCTTCACTGGGCATTATGAATCCATGGGTTTCGCTGACACCATAGGGACGAGCGGAAGGTGCTGGAGAGCGTGGAACGTCGGGATTATCCGACCAGGTGAGTTGCACTGTGGACTCGCCACCAGGAGGTCTGTAACCCCTCTTGTGAACTGCTGGGGCGCCATTATCAACAGGCATTGCTGTCACTAGTAACGGCCTTGGTTAATTTCACCACGCGACGCAACGCTCCTTCGACTCAAGTCAGATCTAGAAAACAAAGAAACCACGAATAGCTCCAGAGTTTACTGAACTCACTACATGAAGCCCCTTCTAGCCTTCTTCTAAAAAACGATCGAACTCTCCCAAACACCGCTAAAAGAAAGAAAAAAAACGAAACAAAAATGAAAATAAAAACCCCCCTCGCCTCAGCTCCACGAGGTTAACCTCAAAGCGAGCCCGCTCGACTTCCCACCAACCACTGTAACACACTCCAACTGCTCAAATAAGCTCTAACGGAAGCTTAAATGCCAACACCTCCCACACGATCCTCGAATAGAAACCGTATCTCGCCAACAGACAAGGAACGATCGAAACAGTTCCCAGCAGCAGCTCTCCCCGGTGCCGCCGCTCACCCCGAACACACTTTTTTTGTCCCAGCACCGACACAAGCTGCAAACTGCACCAAAAGCACTCCTACAGCCACGCACAGGCAGGTAACAGCGAGGGCAAGGCAGCAAGCTTGAAAGAATCCAAATGCGACCCCCGCAGCAGCAATGTAGCAACAGCGAAGAAGAGGCAATCGGGGCCGAGGAAGAAGGGGGAGGATGGGGTGGGTAGGGAGGAGACTGCAAAAAGGCGATGTGGTCAGAACTGAGAATGACAGAGATCAGAAAAACAATACAGTGGAGAGTCAGGCCCACGACGACGACGATAACATCAATCGCGGGCCGGGTCCAATCCTGGGCGGTGATCATGGACTCCCCACCCCGTCTCGATCGCACGGTCCTCCTTCGCCGAACATGGGTCGCAGATTCTTCCTGACCCGTCCCTGCCCTTCTCCCCGGGCAAGTACTTCAGGCGGGAAGAAGAAGCACTACAGCAATCAGGCGCGCACACACACACACACACATGGATGGACTGAATTATTCATCCATGGTGCTGTAACTATGGATGAAATGTTGCACAATGAGGGAGGGGCTCGCCCCCGCTCATGGACACACAACATATACAGACAGCTGCAGACAAGAGAATTGCATGAAGAGGAATGTTCCAGGAAGGAGAGCGCTCCGGGACTCACGAGACGGTCCCCCTATCATCGGGCCTTGAATCGAGGCCCCATGCCCGCTAAGTTTAGAGGCGGGGAAAAGCCCCAAAAGGGGCGCTAATTTAGGGAGGCGCTTCGAGAGTGAAAACAATATATTCTTTCTCTCTGTTCGCGAATGGTTGTTCCCTGTTCCCCATGGATTCGAACGCGGGTGCGCTCTTGGCCTCCCTCCCCACGGAGTTGTTTGCTGACATGTACTAGCGGGTGACGTCATGTACGTCGTGAGGGGCTCCAACGTTCTTCAAGGGGCAGCTAAGCCCAGCCAGGCCCTGTATTTGAGCCCCGCTCCCCCATTTGGATTCTGTTTGGATCCCATTCATGAATGAATGGACAATTTTGAATTTTGAATATTAGACTTGCGTAGATTTCAAGGCAGAATTTACATGACTTCCGCTCGTAATCCACCCCCATTTAAGAAACAAAATCATGAGAATTAGGCCCCCAAAAAAAGGCAACGTATAAAAGTAAAAAGTAGTGTTTCCAAGTAAAGGCTTTCTTGTGCTTTTACGTCAAGCTTTGTTTTTTTACCATGTAGATGGTTAAAAGATTGGATGGATGTTCATAAGCTTAATGCAAAAATGTGAAACATAGGAATTCAAAGTTAATGGCACATATATTTTTATATGGAAATTATTTCTAAAAACATTTAATAAGTCCTATATATTTTTGTAAAATTTTTAATTTTGATAATTTTTTTTATAAAACTTTAGAAAAATTATGTCTTTATAGATAGTAGCCTTTTTGATGTTTTTTTTTTTTTTAAATACGAGTAATTCAAATAAAAAATTATTCATTAAATTTTTAATTAAACTTTTATTACCTATTATTAGATATAAAATACCAAAAAAACAGAAAAAAACAAATATTAGCCATAATAGGCTTTTTAATATAATTTACTTCATGCGATGACTTGTTGCAAAGCCAAGCAAGTAGAAGAAAATTACAAACCGTGCTACATATGTTCAATTCTAATAATAACATAAATTTATATTATTTAATATCAGAAAAATATTTTAAAAGATTCTTTGCACTTCTAGATTAAAGTATAAAAAGATTATTATACAATACTTTAATCTCCAATAAATTGCATAAATCTACAAATATTATGAATTGTGTTTTTTAATAATCTTAATATTCTATTTGTTTCTTAAATTAAAGATAGTAGATTTAAACGTATATATTTATCTTAATCTATTATTTAATTTTTATATCTCAAAATTCAAATTTAAGTATTTTTATTTAATATGATATGTATGCTTTCTATTTCTTTAAATGTGTACATTTGCTACGAAGTTAATACATTTGTATTACAAAATTTAATCCAAAAACTCTATTATTATTTGCATTTCAATACTTACACCATTGATTTAATGTATTATAATCATAGTTATATTTATTGTATTATTATTAATAGTTGTTAAATATTGTAAATTATTTAATTTTAATGTTTTTTATATCCAAATTTTGCATGTGTTTTTATACTTGCTAATCTATAGTTAATATTGTGCTTTACATCCATATCTAATTTGTTTTGCTACACTTCCATAGAAGACTTATTTTGGCCAAAATATTGTAATATATGAATATGATAATTTAGGCTCTCATTTAATACCGGACACAAAGTAAAAATTGCTATAAGAATTTTTTTATATATATTTTTTTAAAGCTAAACTATAGAAGGTTTATCAAACCATTCATGAATAAGACCAAAATTTAGTAGAATCCTAAGATTGGAAAATTCTACTAAGATATCCATTACTTAAAGTAACTTACCATCTAATTCTTTCAAAGTCAAGAAATAGTAGTTGAACAAATAAACTTCTAGACTTTTCTTATTTATTTATTTACTTATTTTCATTTATATTCTACTCTTTTTTTTTTTTTTGCTTGAATTTTCTAATAGATTAAGTTTTAATTATCAATTTGAATGAAAAATATTAATTTCTATTTGGATTATATTAAGTTTTCTAATACATACTTAAATTTTTGACTCATGTAAAATAATTTATATATTTGTAATTTTTTATATATTTTAAAAAATAAATCTTGATAAAAATGTTTTATACTTTTTAAATTAGGTTTTATTTTAATATTTATACATGACTATTTGTGTTAAATATTTTAATTTATTTCAAACTAAAATCTTAAAAAAAAGAAATAAAAATTACAAAAAATATAATTTCATCAGTTTTAAATAAAATAAAATAATAAATTAATTTATTATATATATAATTTGTGCATCATAGAATAATATTTAATTTTAAATATTAATTTAGAGATAAAAATCATAAATTAAAAATTATTCTTTATTCTATATTATAATTTATAAATTATAAATTTAATATTTCTATATATTAATTTTACAAAAAGTTAGTACTTATATAAATTTCTTTCTCTTGCATTCTTACAAGAATAAAATGCATAATCTCTCTCTCTCTCTATCTCTCTCTCTCTCTCTCTCTCTATATATATATATATATATATATATATATAATAGAATTTGAGACTTTTAAATTGCTCAAATTTTAATTTCTAAGAAGAATCATAAGAATTGGCTCTAATATATCTTCTAGTATAAATACCTCTCTTATTCATCACTCTTTTTTGCTTTCAAAATCTGCACACATGTTGGAAACTAAGTCAAATTCAAGCACACAAAGAACTCATTTTAATCAAATTAATATATTAATCAAAATTATAGAAATCTCCACTTATTTTAAAAATCCAAATTTTGAGACCTTATTCACTTGAATCTCAATTAATTTTGATTTCACCATCCAATTAAGCTAAATTTCACAATATAAATCCAACACAACTATACTCACAAATCCACAAAATTTCACTTGCAGATTGCTACAAAACTCACATAATTCACCATTATATAATCTCTTTTGAATGTTTCAAAAATTATACTTATTCAAGACAATAAAAGAAATTCCACGTTTGCTAGAGATGTGCAATTTTGTGCTTTAGGATTTGTTTTCAAATGTGGTTTATAATTGGACTTCTTTGGATATTAATTCAAGGCTTTTAAAAGTAATATTTAGCAAAATCTATTTTTTTACTTTACCTTCACATGCATATAATATTATTTTTGCTAACCTACTTTAACTAATTTTATTTATGGCTTTACAAATTAAGTGAAAGTTTTTTTAACAAAAAGACAATATTGATATTAAATTTGTTTTTAGTACCTTTTAAACTTTTAGCTATATTTTCTAAAGTAATTTGTTACTTTATCTTAAATTTTTTATTTTTTATTTTTATTTATTTATTTTTAAGAATAGAATCATATCTTCTTTTTTTTTTTTTTTTTTTTTTTTTTTTCTGTCATCCAAAAGCTATGTTACAATACAAAAATGTATTGATGATGATTGATACTGTTAGATACTACAGGAACTAATCTGTTTGTTTTTCTAAGAATTCCCTTAACAACTTTTTGATGCGCCATATCAAGAATCAATACCAATTTAAATAACTTATGTTCAAAAGATGGACATTAAAATCCTAAAAATATATGTTTATAGTATAAAAATTTGTGTGGATATTTTTAATTTCACTAAAACAAATTATAAATATTTTTATATGTTTAAAGATAAATAATTTTTTATTTAATATTTTTATAAATTTAAAAAATATCCAAATTAATTTTAGTTTAAAAATATTTAATAATAATTTATAATATATTAAATTAAAATAAATCATTTACCACATCCATAATTTTGAAATGTATAAAAAAGTTATATTCCTAAATATATAAAATATACAAAGATAAAATTTTCAAAACATGATTTTAAAAAATAAAAAATTATAATATAAAATTGATATTTCCAATTTTTTGGAATGTATAATGATACATTAATTTACTTTCTTTAAGCATATTTAATAATAAATTATTTTATAAGGTTTATTTTATTTATCCTATTTTCAAATGTATCCTTATTAGTTTCTTTATTATATTTTTATTTCTATTTTCTGTAACATGTAAAGAAAAACATACAAAGAAATTTATTTACTGGACCATATGTAATTGGATCAGTAATATAAAAATAAATAGGTAAAAAAAAAATTATACATCTAAACCAGAAAATAAAAATAGAGTAAAAAAACTTATATTATAGATAATATATTCAAGATATAACACTTGTTTAATAATTAATTCTTGTTCTTGAATTGCAATATAAAAAATAACACAATATGGTGTTTATATTGGATGTTATATATTTACAATGAATTAAAAATATATATCCTTATACATATATATGTAGATACATATGACAATGGTATACTTTATTAGTATTCTATTTTTTATGAACAAGAAAGAACTAAAAATTGATATGTGACTTTTTTAATTTCAAATACCATATTTTTAAACATATATGATTTTTTATAATATTTAAAGAACATTATCATTTGACAAGGAATTTGAATTCCAATAGAATATATAAATATATAAATATATAAATATATAAATATATAAAAATTAAAAATATAAAATTTATATTATTATTTCTATGTTTACTAAAAATA